TATTTATTGAATATTATTTTTACTTTTTATTCTTATGTAATTTAATTTTTTAATTATCTTTGATAATTAATGTTTTGATGATTTGAAATTTATATTTTCATCAAATTATCTTCAGCCTGTGCACACTGTGCAGCGACTGCTGTTTGCTTTGGTGGTGGAATCGGGCTTTGCGGGATTGTCCCTCAAAGTTGACGCAGTTTAAGTCTCCATGCATGTGTGTGCGTGTGAGTGCGCGCGTGTGTTAGTGTGTGTGCAGTGATTTGTTGTTAGGCTGCAGGGTGCACTTCAACTGCCGCGGCTCGTTTGTCAGCACCAGCTAGACGCGGCTCTAGGGGGAGGACGGAACCAGAGCAGAGCAGAGCAGAGCAGTCAAGCCGATATCATTCAATGCTTCTAATTTACGGATTAATGAAGGCGCAATTTTACATATTGAAATTTTTGGTTGCTCGACGCGATCGTGGGAAGCGATTAGTGGCCGTGGCCGTGGCCAAATCAAAGCGGAGGCGACACTGCAATTGTTGCCCCTTGTGCGGCCCTTGGCTGGCATTGATGGATTGCCTCATAAATTTGTGATTTGCTAAGCTTGATTTTCCATTTCACAAACTTAATTTATATGAATAYTTATATGCATATATTGCATGTTTGGATGTGGCATATATGTACATATGTATGTACATACATATGTATAAATGTCTGCCATATGTCAGCTGGGTAGCAATGGGCGCCGTGTGAAAGTATTGGGTGCATTGTCCTAGGTCGTTCCGACATTAAAACATTTGCATAAGTTAAATACTAAGGTATATACACATATGTACATGTATGTATGTATTGCATATACATATGTATATAAATACTAGCTTAGTATATACTATACGTAATAAAATACACACATGTATAACAAAGATAATTTGCTTAAAATAAAAAATAGAAAAAAAAATAAGGGAAATAAATACTTAATTTAATTAACATTTTATAAGCCAACTTCCACAACTCTTTCAACGTCAGCCGCTCAATCGGGGCTTTGTCCTGCTTAAAGCAGCTTTAGATCTCTTATCTTCCAGGCAGCTTTTTAGCGCTTCGCTTCGAATTCCAATTTTCCAATTCACAGCTCGACGCCTTCAATGAAAACGAAAAAAGAAGCAAAAGATGAGGCGAAAAGAATATAAATAAACGGAAGTCAGTTGCTTAGTGCAAACACTAATAATATTAATAACGATAATCGTGATGAAAATGAATCTGCCAATCCGATTTCAGGTCATAAATACATACGTAACGTAACGTCAGGCCCATTGATTGCTATCAGCCGCATAATCATAAGTGCAACAGAGACAACAAATGCACACTGAATTGGCGGTAGTGTGTGTGTGTGGATATGCGTGCATTCCAGTGGCGGGCCACGCGTCGCCAGTTGCTTATCTCGGGTGACCAGCACGCCACGTGCAATTGCCAATTCCAATTCCAATCCCATTCATGAACCATAGTTTTTGGCACGTATGTATGTATGTGAGCGTGTGTATGTGTGTCTGTGTGTTGGGCAGCGCGTAACGGGTAAACGGGCGAGGGTACCAACAAATTTGCGTGCAATCGTTAGGCTTGCGTTTTTAATGACTTTTTCGTTTCAGTTCTGTTGGCATTGCATTTAATTCGATTATGATCCCTTCTCCCTGCCCATTCCCGTTCGCCCGTTCCAGTCAGTTCTGCAGCTGGGGTAGCTGTAAAGTAATTGAAACGAAGCCGTAAGTGGAGCGCTGTGTGCATTTCCCAGGCGAACGCRTGTGTGTGTGTGTGTGTGCGTCCAAGTACAACTAATGTGGGTGTTAACGGTGTGTTAAGTGATTTTGCCATTTGTAAAATCGAACAATTGCAAAAGCCGCTGCGATAACTATCACATTCGCTGTTGCTGTTGCTGCCGCTGTCGATGTCGATGTCAGCGCACGTTTTTCCCATATTTCAAATGCTCAAAGTTAAAACTCTTGATATCCGTTTTAAAATTGTTTCACTGCGCGCGTGTGCGTGTGCGTGCGTGAGCATTTCAAAAGTATCGACTTACGTTTTCTTTTACGTCGTTTTTTAGCTGATGCTGCCTGTGAACAGCTGGCAACGCTAAATGGGAATTAATATTTAAAAATAACTGTATTATGTATTCAAAGAGCAACGGCTCTTATATCTTAATTTGAGAGTGCAAGTATATATGTATGTAGATATATATTTATGTATATAAGTTAGCCATTTATTATGTGCTTTATCCCCTGTCAGTTGGTCCTTGGCCGGTTGTTGGCTAATGAAAACTAAAAACTTCAATTACCAAAAGCAAAATAATGCGTTTTTAAACCCAAAAATGTAAGAACTGTAACTGTAGCAAGAAATTGTGATAGATGAGGGTATATGGGAATGCTTTTTACGGACCACTTGTTTGTCCCAGGGCTGCTTATAAACAAAGAGTTAACCGAAAAGGACAACGCTCCAAAGAAAATGCCCATAAATCAGTGTAAGCAACGCACACACACACACACATACACACGCACACGCAAATAGTAAAGTAATGCAAAGCTAAAGTAAGAGAATGAAAGGGTTTCGATTGTTGTGTTGGACTTTCCATGAAATTTCCCAATGGGGTGATTATTTAAAATTGTGCAGCACATAAATAGCATACCAAACGAAGGCAGCGGGGCAACATCTGTATAATAAAAACATTTGTATGTGTGTTGTGCGTATATTTCTGATATAATTGTTGCCAAACTTTTTTTTATAATCAAAGTTTTTGTGTAAGCACAAACCAAACTGCGCGCGCTTCGCTTATGCGATATTTGCAAACGATATTCAGTTGCTATCGATAGGCGATCGCTAATTGCGAAATCAAGGCAACTTAAGTGGCTCATCGATATTTATTAGCAACTGTTGCGCATATCTAAGCGAGAAATGCGCGGCAGCATTGAACATCTAATTGGATCTATTTTGCCAAAAACTACAGTTGCTTCTGCTGCTGCTTCCAACGATGGAAACCGATGTGCAAAACACAGATGCTAAGGATACGCTGACTCAGCTGCTCGAAATGGGCTACGCAGAGATCGAGGCACGACAGGCGCTGGCGCATGCCTCCAATAATCTGGAGCTGGCCATACAATATCTAGTCGGCGACTACGATGCCGAGCAGACCGATGAGGCGCTGCAGCGACGCACGCGTCGCCGCTGCAAGGAGCTGCGCAGCTGCCTCATGGGTAATCCAGCCATAACCGATTACGCCGTGGCAGCGCTAATGAAGAAACCGCGCACTGCCGAAGCGTTGCGTGAGCTGGTCGGCACGCACAGCGCGATGTTTTTGGGATCGCTATTGGAGTCATCCTCCGACGAGGAGCAGCCGAATGAGGAGCGCAAGCAGCGAGAATAGCAGATTCAATGAGAAAATAAGAGAGGTGGAGAGAAGCTGCCAGATCAGCTGTTAAAACTAGGTATTAAAGCGAATTGAACGAAGGCTAAGAAAAAAACTGTTGTTGTTTTTGTTTTCCTTTGCCTGTGCCTTTGCCTCGGCTTTGGTTTTGTTTTTGTTGTGGCGCCGGTCAAGCCACCCTTTGTGCGTGTTTTATTTTCTTCTTTTTCAATTTTTGTTGTTGTTTTTTTTCTTGCGGTGTTTTGTATTTTGAGCTCTGTCGAGCGCGTCAACCCTTTTAGCTTGATGATTAATGATCGCATTTTTTTGCTTCATTTTATTTTGCTTGCTGCTGTTTTCTACTGATTTCAATTTAGCGCTTCGCATTAGAAATTCTACCCTAAGCTGAGACGGTTTATTTGGCTATGTTATGAGTCCTATGGATGCACATAGATACGAACATATATGTACATATAAATAAGCTATATACAATATATAAAGCTACAAATATACTTTTATCAATAGTTGAAAGTTAATAATTATTACAAATGGCCCATTCAATTAAACCTTTTACATTGCAATTAGCTTATTCTCCCGTTCCTTGTCTAGCCTATGTTAGGGTATTCGAGAGTCGACTTTAGCCTGTTATGTGCTAAAATTCTCTAGCTACTGCTGAAAAATCCTAATTAATTTTGACTTGCAACCGTTTGCATTGTCAACCGCAGCCACGTAGCCGGCGCTGGTGTCGCCGGCGTCGCTGCCGTTGTCAACGCTTATCGGCCATTTGATCGGCGTTGCGGCGTACCGCAAAATGTGACGGCGACAAAGAGAGAGAGAAAGAGTGAGAGAGCGACAACCCTTGACGCGCGTAGGCGGCGCCCTATCATTTATCACGGGTTGCAAATGCTTCAAAGTGGCTGTAACTGAGCCCCCCACAGCGGTGGCAATTTTAAACTGCACTCACACTTTCAGTCGCAGTCGCAGTCGCAGTCGCGCAGTCGCTCAGTCACAGCTAATAAATTATGTATTGAAATTGGATATCGCCTCCGTTTGACGCACAATGCACCGCAATTAGACGAGTTGAAAGTGAACGTGCGCGCGCGCGCTCTGTCCCACWCTCTTGCTCTCCCGCTCTCTTCCAGTGGGTCCCATGCACGTAACTTGCCGAACTGCGCCTGTGCTTCTTCTTCTTCTTCTTGTTGCTGCTTTTTTGGCAGACCTTGTCAACGATCGTTCGTCCCTTTTATGCGCTCGTTTACATGTGCTTAACAAAGGCAATCAATTTGTTGACAACAAGCAGCTATAATAATTGCAATAATAATCAAAAGTATGATGAAAAGAAGTAAGAAAAACGAAGTACTAAGAGAAGTACGCAGCTAGCGCTGCAGTTGCATACAGTGGCTCACAGTTTATTTCAACTAGCTACTAGAAAAAAACAATTCAGTCTTAAAGATGTTAACTAAAATAAAAGCAAAATGATATAATAAAATGAAAATGATAAAA